CAAAATATCTCACTATGTACATACAAGATGCATTGTCTCATATCTTAGCTCTCTCTGAGATGTAAAGTCTGACCATTTAATATCTAGAGCATTTTATGCTTTGCATTCTCATGGTATGAGAATGCAAGTAAAAAAAAATATATATTTTCAACATGAATCTTCTAAATACAGCAAAATGGAGGACATTGCTAATATTACAAGATATCGATCTTAACAACTTACCTGAATGGTTTCAATACTTTTTTCTGCACAACCATATTTGGTAAAAGTGCTACTGGAGCCACCTCTGTAATTTTTGCAACATTTACACTCCACTGAAATTGAAATAGAGGGATTGAAAAGGCATCTTGCTGAAACACATATAGGGGGATTAAACACAGCATTTTGCACTATGCATTATAATCACTGCTCAAATTTTTTTTTCAATACATTCTGATCTTTAAAACTATATGGTTGTGTATTAAATGTACCATACAAAACCTGCATTGAAAGAAATTATCTAGATTTACGATAATAACAGTATGCTGGGTGGTAATAATGAAACATGCTTGGCATGACAAAAGGAAACTCCTTTAGTATGAATGTAATATAGACATTCCTTAATAAATCCTATTAGATTAGTATTTCTCCAGAGATGACTGAATGTACTTGTACTTATCTGAAACTTGACATTTATGTCATACCTTCAGACTTCTAAGATATGATGCTGTATGTACAAAACGTAAGTCAGTCTCTGTGGCTTCATTTGGGCACACTAATTTCAAATCTTTCAGCAATTTCTTCTTTTTCAAATACTGAAAATAAAAGAAAGGTTTAAATTTCTGTGGTTGTAACACAATATACTTCTTCCTTCTGTCTTAAAAGAATACCCAATATCTAATCTCATAAGCAAGCTAAGCAAATATGAAACTTCATAATAATGCTATCTAATATCTAATACATTTTTACTTTCATCTAAATATCTGTGACATTTAAAACATTGTACAAGTCAACACAAATTTAACATACTTTCACAACATTTCCCCATTTTCCAGCATCAAATGGGTGCAGTTTTTCCATGCCAAGCAAACGTATGTTGTACTCATCCCGATAGACAATGGGTATGCATTCCATACCCACATCCACATACAGCTTGCTTTCAGCAGCCCTGGAACACATGTCAATTAAGGTTGTTAAACAGTTTGGAAAATAATTATGATATAAATCATGCTTAATGGAATGTAATTCTTGAGCAAACAAAAATGAATATTTACTAGAGATGGTAAGGCTAATTTCCAAAACAGTTTGTATCTATGTTCCCTTCTTTTAGTCCCCAGTATAATAAAGCAAACCTCAAGATATGTGCAAATAATGGAAAAATTAGATTTTTAAAAATGTCTTACATTGGCTGAAAATCTGCCATGAACTATAGGAGACTGTGCTGTATAGACTATATATACTGATTTTTTTTTCTTTCTTTTTTTTAAACCACTGTCTCCTGAGCATGATGAATTGGGTTAGCTATGTACTTAGGTTCTTCTGTGCTTGGCAAGACAACTTGATAACTTTCTACAATGCATATTTGAGGGGGAAGCAAAAAAAGAAAAGAAAATGAAAGAGGGAGAAAAAAGACAGATAGACAGACAGACTGTACAAGAATCATTAGACTACTGTTATGTTACACAAAAAGCTAACAAAACAATCTGTGGACAATTAAAATTTTTACCAATCATATTTTCCAGGAGCATAATTTTATCATATCTACCAAGGAATACAACTGCCAAAACTGATAGATACATACATAATTAAAAACTTCAATAGAATATTTCTACTTGATCCTTTATTATATAATATATAATACAATTTATTATACAATTTATACTTGTTGTGTGGCTTACTTGAGTTAATATAAAAATAATCAACTCTTGTTTCTTATACTATTATACTTAATATTTAAAGGCTGACAAAAAAGTCCTTGAACTACATAAATATAATTGAAGGACATGCTTACTGAGCATCTTTTTTTCTGAGCACAAAGACTATCTTGAAATTTCTCATTATACTGTGAGTAATAAAATATCCAGATGGCAAATACAAAGAACTGGACACTTACAGTTCTTTTGGCATTGCATTATTGTCTGTGTTGTCTTCTGGGCTTACAGATGCCATTCTGCCTGTAATATAAATGATATATAATTATTGTGAGAATAATTGGGATAACTGGGATGAAACCATCAACAGAAATATAATTCTAAAATTAATGAGTGCTAATGTCAGAATCACACACAAAAGGAGAAGGAAGAAAAAGTTGTGAAAGTAACACAAAAAAATGCACATGAACAGAAAAGGGAAAACTATCAGAAAACAAGGAAAACCATACATATTCTTCAATAAAATTAAAAAGATAATATAGCCATAGCATGATCTCAAGAACTCTTAGAAGAAAAAGTAAACAAAAAGATGCCAATAGAATGTCATATTGATAACATGATGCTTCATGATTCTTTTCTAGTTCTCTCTCTATAATAGCCACTAAACTTTATCATATATATTTACAACACAAAATCTTCAACCCTCTAAGCCTATAACATCATCCAGCTAGAGAGAAACATATAACAATCACACAGCAAGAGAGAATTTACAAAAAAATAATTTGTACTGCAGGCATGATGGGTGCAGCAAATGGTTGGCTGTGGGATATATATCAGTATAAAAACAGGCATAACTATATGGATTTGCAGTATGATTGTTACTCTACTTTACACTACCGCAGTTTCAACTTTCAAAAATTGTACAGTAAACAATAAAGTAAGGACCGAGTAAGATAAAGGTCTCCTTTATCAGTACTACCTATATGCTGAAATACTTTTAATTGTTGTCCTCCAACCCAGGTGAAAGTTACCAAATGTTAAGAAAAACTGAAAACTGTTTCACTTTCTGTTTTGATTCATGATGGACAGCAGTATTATGGTTATTAGTGACCCCTGGTGTCCTAGTATGTCTACTAGTGCTTTCTGTTATGATCTTTTTGACACACTTCATCTATAAAGAGAATTAAATTTTGAAGTAAGTTCTGTGTGTTCTAGTTTTATTATTAGACAAGTTTTATATGTAATGCATTTACAAAATAATCAATGTCAAAATTTGTTGGTATGGTCCAGCAAAGTAATAATAAGTACTAGACTACTTGGCATATTACATCCATGTATTCCAAGATAAATTATTATTTGTGATTGCCCTGGTCTCCAGACCTACATTCTGGCAAGTTAGAACTAGAAGACCTCTCTGTCAACCAAGGGACCTTCTAACCCTTTTGTGCCAGGATATAGAAATTGTGAGGTTTGTTGACCTTTGCCTGCCTGCTTGATGCATGAAAATCACAGCCACATTTGATGCAGTCCAGTTCTGAATAGCCTATTCAGGAGGAATGTATTTTGCATACTTACTAAAAAGCAAAGGAATAAGAAAGAGGAAGATGAGAATAATGAAATAAATATAGCATTTATGATTTTTCAGGGAAAGACTGTTTTGCTATAGGTAGACTACTGATGGTAGGTAGCCTAGCTTTGTCAAGATTATCAAGAACTATTGAATTCTGAAGTGTTTTTTTAATCTTCATTGATACTGTTGGTAGATGTTTACAAGGCATCTAAAGTGCCTTTCTAAACAGAATTTCTTTCTTAATCATAAAGGCTACCTTTTCTCTATATGCAGAAGAAATTTGGTGATCAGTGATGGATCACCAACATTCTTGAAGTGAAGTTGAAAGTGGTCTGACACAATTTTGGAGAAAAAAAAACTTGGATTGGTTCATCATTTAATGAAAAGTGGCTAGGAAGGTCTACATGCTTTATTCTGCCAGATTACACTTGCTAGTACTTTGTTAGTCTTCCCTGAAGCACCTGAAGTAAAAGGCACTGGCTTCTTGTAAACATCAACAAAAATTGCAACTATCTGCAATACTTTAAAGCCTATTAGTCACACTGGAGTATGTTTATTTTTTCAAGGATCTCAGAAAGAAAAAAGAAAGAAAAAAAAAAATCCCAAGGAATAAATTTATTTACATGGAATTACAATGTCTCCCACATTCCCTAGAAAAATCACATTATTGACACCAGCAAAATATCAAAATATCAAATGAATTATGCTTTGTTCAAATAAACTGAACAACAAAGAAAAAGAAGAAGAAAAAAAGGAAGAAGAAAATAAGAGGAAGGAATCATTGGTTAGTCCTATGCAAGTGATAAACTGTCCTCTTTTCCAAATACAAAAATGACCATAATATTACACAAAATAAAGTTGAATTTCCATTCACTTTTAGCTTTAGTTACTTTACACATTCTATCAGAGATATAACTTAAAGAAGAAAGAAGAAAGGAGGAGGAGGAGGAGGGAGGAGGAGGAGGAGAGGAGAGGAGGAGGAGGAGGAGGAGGAGGAGAGGAGGAGGAGGAGGAGGAGGAGGAGGAGGAGGAGGAGGAGGAGGAGGAGGAGGAGGAGGAGAAGAAGAAGAAGAAGAAGAAGAAGAAAGATAAAACACACAACTGCCATTCCACCATTGTATAACATTCTTTAAAAAAAAGCTATAACATATTTTCAAACTCGAATAAATGACTGACGATGACTGAGTAACATATAATCCTATTATATACAGCATCAACGTATAAATATTCATAACATCCAAAGAACTGAAACTGAAAGCTCAAGCATTATATACTGATATTTTGCATATACATCTATCCATATAATCCAACACAGGCAATTTCATGCAAATATACTTCATATAGCAGAATTTAATGTTCAAATTCTCTATATTGCAGATGTAAATTGTGTGGTTTACATTTACAGTATCATATAGATAAATACTAATACTGTTTCTTTCACTTGACCAAGAAGTTAAACATACAAATTATTGTCTTCTGATGTATTATATATTCTTTAGAACAAGTCCCAGAATAAAAAAAACATGCAACTTGTGGTATGTCTTAAGGCAAAAGGAATGTTGATGACCTAATAAATATAA